TTTGAAAGAACAACATACTTAAGGTTCCCCTCTGGCCTTATGTTACCCTTCTTCCCCAAAATAAGTCATAAAACCTGAAAAGCATTTTCTTACCTTCCCCCGGAGCAAGTGAAAATGCTTTCAGTGGAAAAGTGTCTTCTCTATTCCCAGAAGAAAGGAACACTTCTGAAAACACAGGGATAGAGAAAAGAATTCGAGTAAACAAGCTTGGCTAAGTCTCTGCAGTTTGTTAACATAAAATCACACCTTCTGTATCCAATCATACTTCTCTACAACTGCCCACTTCTTCATTACACATACCATGAAAAAGTTAACTCATTCTTGAGATCTTAATTTCCTTACGAAGCCTTTAACTCATGTAAAAGTTATTAAATAAATTCATGCAGTTTTCTTTCTTTCTCTCTTCAGTGCTTAGATTTAAGTCAAAGGTCCTGCACTTGCACTCTACCACTGAGCTACATCCCCTCCCCGTATTAATCTGTCTTGTCACAGAAAGTTTCAACCACTAACCTAGCAATTGTTGAAGAAAACACTTTTCCTTTCCTGCATCACACTTCTATATGGTTGTATATATTCTGTCATTTAATTTATGCTCTTCATTTTATATACCTCTTGGCTCACTTTCACTGTTTTTCAAAATTGTGAGGGATTGAAATGTCAAAACATGAAGTTCTTCAAATCTACCATAAAATAGGAATTGAACTCAATAAGAGCTTGTAGAAATTGGCCTTAATGAACTGCTTTGCCCTTTTTCCAGCCTGCAGCCTTCTCCCTTTGAACTACCACTGAAGACCGCCAGAGTAGTTCAAAGAATGTTGTGTGGCAGGGGCCATATTTGTCAGTCTCTCCCAGGACCTCAGAAAGGTCAGACTCCACAGGGGGAGAGTCCTCTCTGCAGATACTGAAAATCCTTTGAAGACTGCAATAGCTAATTTTCCAACCTACTTGGCTACTTCCTATTTTATTCAAAGTTTATACTTCATTTGGCAATTTAGATCTCTTTTTCCTTTTCAAAGAAAAGAGATCCCTCTAGTGGCTTAAGGGAGTCTCTGTTTTTCAGCAGTGGAATGTGAACACTGAGGCTCAGCCCTTTTAATTTCTAATAGCTGTGAGAGTTGATGAGCTGGGAGGAGAAAGAGATGAACTGCAACAAAAGGAGATACAAAAAAGTATCACCTGGTGATGCTCATACAATACTCCGTTATGCTGGCGGCAATCAAAAGAATTTTATGAACCTTGAGAGACTTGTTAGATCCTGGCCACTGATTTATAGGGATCTTTCTGATTATCATTTATGATTTATTACCATTTTCTCATGTCTGTTATTTCAGTTCATTTCTCCTCCACCTGCAGTGTGTTTGGGGGATGCAAATTCCTCTCATATAGCAGCTATAGCCACATAAAGCTTCCCATGCATCATTCTACATGGAAGTGCTTGGAAAAAAGAATTGGTTATCATCTGTGTGTTTGTATTAAAAGGAAAAGAGTCACAAAATACATTTAAATTTCTGGTTTTGTAATGTAGTTGAGGATAGCGTTATGTAATGTAACAACAGCTATTGATTCATATTATTTTGTCTTGAGACTCT